TACATTGTCTGTATAAATTCAGAGCAAGCAAGACCCGTTTCTGAAGCACCGGCATCGGCCTTTTTGCAATGCAGCATCTCGCAACCCTAATCGCCCTTACCTTCTCCGTCGTTCATGGGCATCTGCTCCCTCGAGATAATCCCAATGAGACGTATGTAATGGCTTACTTGTTCGACCTAGATCACTGATAGGTCATCCTAGTGTAACTTTTGCGATCGACCCATCCCCTACCCTCACAAATGCGCCAGTCAGTTCGGCGTACAGTGTATATGCGCAGAAGTGCGGGCCAGACTTGGACTCGATCGCATACTCCTGGTATCCGCAATTCACTTCCGCTGGTGGCTCCGCCGCTATTACCGCCCAGGCCTTTCTTGACTGGATGGGCGATGCTGATAGCGGCTGGCAGAACCCTTGCCTCGCCGCAGACAGCGATCTGGTGGATGCTGTTCGGGCTGCGTCGCCGGACACAACCTCTACGGCGTCTACTACCACCACTGCCCCTCCGCAACCCGGTCCGAGCACAGGCGACCAATCCTCATTTTCGTTCTCCGGCTGCCTTCCGTCCAACTTTCCGAGCGGGATTCCTAGTGGACTCAGCGGGCTCTCCATCCCCGGTGGTATTCCTACCGGCTTCCCTGGCCTTGATGGACGCGACAATCAGGCAGCCACCTCGAGCTGCCAAGGGAGCCAGATAGACGGCGCAGGGGGGAGCGCGACGGGTGGTTCGGCTGCGCCTGCGGCGACTAAGAACGCTGCTTCTGGCGCTCATCCTCGGGTGCATATCATGTTCACGCTCGCAGCACTTGGTGTACTCCGTGCCGTAGTGTAGTGTAGATCATTGGTTGGCGTTGGAGGCAAATCCACGGACAATGTACGTAGATACTGCTCGCGTTTCCTGACAGCTTTACAACGATGTCGTTATATAATCCTGCATTCAGAGTCACTCTGTCTTCGATTAGGGACAACGGAAACGGCGAATCGTCGCGCCTTGTTGCCATGACTCAAGCGCCTTGTCTCCACTAATACAATGCGCGGCGTCCCCTGGCATCGCCTCCCAACTCCACTCCCATCCATAACCTGTCGACTCACGAGGAGCATTTCTGTCTGTCCTTGTTACGGTGAGACCGATCAGAGCAATCTGACCGGCGATTCTGCATCGCATTGCCTTTGCTGTATAAAGGCAGATCCAGGAGGACTCGTTTCTTAAGCAGCATCGCACGTTCCACCATGCGAAATCTCCTCATTTTGTTCGCCGCCACTTTGTCGGTCGCCCAGGGGCATCTGGTCCCCCGCGATGGGAGGTATGTTCAAATTGTTCAATCTTATCCTCGATAGTTTTACTGATGACATTGGGCATTCCAGCACGACCACATCGCTGTCGGTCTCCGGATGCCTTCCTTCTGGATTTCCCAGCAGCATAAGCCTCCCCAGCGGAGTCTCCAGCCTCCCCACTGGCGGCGGCGGCGGTGGCCTCCCCGGCGGACTCTCCCTTCCCGGCGGACTGTCCATCCCTGGCTTGCCGACTGGCTTCCCTCGCCGCGACAACCAAGCAACGCCCTCCAACTGCGGAGGCAGCCAGCTCCCGACTCCGGCGTCGGGGAGTGCGGCTCTGGGCAGTGGTGGAAGTGCAGCAGGTGGAAGTGCAACTGGTGGATCTGCAGTGCCTACTACTACAACTAACTCGAATGCTGCGTCCGTACTTCACCCAGGCGTATTTGTTCCTCTCGTCGCCTTCGGCGTATTACGGGCTGTAGCGTAGATCCGGAGTGGCTGTTTTGGACGCCGTATGTAGATCGGTGCTGCTATTAGTATTATTTATCTCCTTGCTGCTGGTATATATCACTCATTCCAACGTGGAATCCCGTGAGCAGTGAAATGACTCTGTGCTGGAATATTTGACTTGGGACCAGGCACCGACAATTGCTGATTGAGTCAACCGGGGATGGTTTCAAGAACAACTGCCACATCTCCGTAGTTGCATCAGAGCTGAACGCCGCCTTGTAACGTGCCAACCTTTGTCCGCTGTTTCGAACATCCAGCTGATCACCGCTCTTAATTCCGAGCTGGCGGTGCTGATCCTTCCGCGAACATGCGTGCAGAAAATTGCGGCCTATCGCACTAGGGGTCGCCGCGGAAGCGCCACTATACATAAGGGACGACGACGTCCCCCATATCATTCCCCCTCCCAACGACTTCTCTCGCCATGCGGTCTTCGGTTGTACAGAGCTTGAGCGCCATTTCGATGTTCGCAGCATGTGTCCATGGTAGCCGCGCGCAAATTCGTGACGATAGTCAGAGGTAGACGAATATCCTTATGCAGCTGTCAGCACATTCGTTGATTTGAGAGTCGTAGCATCACATTCACCCTCGCCCCAACGCCTACCCTAACCGACAGCGCAGTCAACGCAGCATACAGCGTCTACGCAGAAAAATGCGGCACGGACCTCGACACCATCGCCTACGCGGACCTCCCCGCGTACATCAGCCAAGGCAATCCCGCCGACACGACCATCGACGATCCCGATTACCAGAGCTACCTCGACAGCAACGCGGGCGACTGGCAGCAGGCGCAGCAGGTGTGCACGAGTGCGCTTAATGATTTTGAGGATGTCGTGGTCACTAGTACGACGAGCGCTGCGAGCTCGAGCAGCAGTGCGTCGAGTACGAGTCAGTCGAAGAGCGCGGCGTCGGCGAAGAGTTCGTCGAGCGGCAAGGGGGTATCGAGTTCGGCGGCGCGTTCGTCGGTGACAGGCAAATCCAGTAGTGGGAGTGCGGCGGCTACGGCTGCGCAGGCGAAGCCATCGGCGGGGAGGGCAGTGCGGCCGCAGTGGTTGCTCGCGGCAATGACACTGGGAGGCATGCTTGTGGGGCAAATCATGTGTGTTTAGACGTGGAGGATAATACGCACAGAATGGACTGGGCAGTCGGCTGATATTCGTGTACGCGTTTTATTTCTGGGGCAATGGCGGCGGCAACTGGTCAGAGTCAAAATTTCCGAATAATTCATGGAATAGATAGCGACAATATCCTCTTTCGTTTCAGACGCTGGCTGGGTTGAAGAAAAAGCCCTCTACATTTTTAAATGAGCAAGCGCCAGTGGTCTGTGATAAGTACACTTGAAGTACACACCGAAGTCGAGAATCCCACGGGCCACAACACCGACGGCAAGAGGTTCGATCCCTCTAAGCGCATACTTCGGGGACAAGGAGGATTTTTTCTTCTGCTTTTGCTCTGTTCTTGCACGGTTAATCCTATAGTTAGATGTATGGCCTGAAGCCTGGGAGAAATGTGAGTTAAGTCAGGCAGGCAAAGACTTGAGGAGTCCGACTGCAGTGATCGAAAAGGGGGATGAGTTTTGGGATCCTATTCCTCGGAGCGCAGAACTTGATGGGCTTAGAAGAGAAGGATTTTTACCCGCAGACCGCGCTCTCACACACCGGAGCGCTGAGCATCAGGGCTTGGGCGAGTCATGGACTGGTCGCCAGATGATTCAATGGCGAGAGTGCGACAAGATAGCAAGTCGTGTCGGGCTCAATTTCATGAGAGACTTAGATCCAGATCGGAGGATTTCAAGAGTTGCAGAGTGCAGTGCTGCAAGAACTGAGAGCAGACAGGAGCGAACGACATCCAAGTTGGGCGAAAACGGGGCCGTATAAGTACCAGGGTGCAGAGGAAACCGTCGCGGGAGAGCCCGACCAAAAAACTGTTCTTGAGAACTGAGTGCAGAATGGCGCCAGATCAGCATACCGTTCGCCATTTGGAGGTTTGTGGAGGAAAGACAAGAGCGACGAGAAGTCAACGAGAAGTGACATGTCACGCATTTGATCACGGTGATGGCCGACACAGCCACTTCCGCTTTCTCGCCCTGCCCGACCCACCACCGCTGGAGATGACCCGGTCAAATGCAACCAATATCTGACAAATCAGCCGCATTGGAGCCTTTGTGACTTTTGACCAGCCCGTCCGGCGTACTCACGGTCCGACAGGGCTCGTTAGCTCGCGCGCGTCGGCGTTGTCGTCGAAAAGGGACTTGGCTTTGCGTTTTCGTTCTCAAGTCTGGGGAAGACGTACGTGCGTTTGCGTCAGCGCGCTCTCTGCGCCGAGCGTGGAGAAGGGGAGATCACGGTGCCGACAAATCACGGCACGTTCCTGATCTGTGCGCGCCCCGTCTGCACCGGCGGCGCGACGCGATCCTCGAAATTCACAAGGGCAGCATCGAGCCGTTCTGGGGCGCCAGACTCAGGGCGCGATCTCGAGCTCCAGCACAACCGCCTTGCCCCGCGCGAATCGAAGCAGGAGACTGCTGCAGGAGCACCAGTGGAAGCGGGAGCCTCAGCCGCATCCGCTCCGGCCGCGCACTCATCTCGTACCGGGGAACTTCCATTAGCGGCTGATTCATATTGGCCAGCGTCTCTGCATCAATTATCCTCCGCTGAACACACTGCCAACTTCCGGAGCAAGTACTGCTTCGAAGTGCGGAGTCCCTCTTTTAATTGCCTCGTAATGAACCTCGGCTTCTCCGCATAACTCTTCGGTGACAGACCGACCTGCCTCATGTGGCGTTGTCTGAAATTTCCGGAGCGTACCGCCGATCCGCAACAACTAACTACGACGAATTCAACAGCTAAAAGGTGACAACCAACGATCGCCATCATCGAACACTCAGACTCAGCGGCCCGTGGGTTTTCAAGCATGACTGTGCTGACTTCAAGTTGTGATCAGTCCGGGCTCTGCCCCGCTTTCAGCATTCACCGACAATCATATACACGGGACTACCAGGCACTGGTTGGGCACGGGCAGCATAGTGAGTTCCCTCAATTTGAGAACTACTCGACCCTACCACTCGCTCAGTTGCAACGCGCTGATGGTCTGGTAGTATAATACACGCCTTTGGGCCAGTCGCAAACGGTTTGTTCAGAACTCACGATGAGAATCTCGATTCTCAATCCACTTCAACAATGCGCCGGTGTCAGAGGCAATGATTCCTCATCACAGCCATTGCCCTGATGGTCTAGTAGTATGATACCTTGTTAGGGTTGTTTTAACGCTCGAGGTGGTCCCCGGTTCAATTCCGGGTTAGGGCCTTTTTGAAACACCGATCCATTGTTTTGGATGAGCAACAGCTACCTCGACGATATCAATCCCCAAGACTCGCCATTCTTCCGCGACACTCCAAGCAGCATTCGGCATTCGCCTCAGCATTCCGTTCGGTGCCTCTTTACCAGGAGCGCCAGCTGTCCTACATTGAGTTGGGTTCAATCCACTCTACACCTCCACTTTCCCTGACTGACACGAGGATGATAGCGTCCAAGACCTAATTATCATCCTCAGTCAGCCCGAGGCGATTAGACGAGAGCTGCCCCTGGGAACGAACCACAAGCAGTGACTATGGGATTCGCACAACGATACCGAACTAATCGTTGAATGCCAGCGACAAGTCTAAAGAAGGGCGCAGAAATAATCGGTAAGTTACAGTACGCGAGCTGAGTCAGCTCCACCTCCCCACCTCCCAAACATATCGATTACCATGAACACCGGTGATATCCCCACGCCCTCGCGATACAGCCAGATATCGTATGCCCGTACGCGGGGCTGAGAGTGCGGTTTGGTTGGTATCATCCCCGTCGCCCTGGCTAGTAGTACGAAACATTGTAAGTGCTTTGCTTGGACGACAGGAATTGTTTCTCATAGAGACAATGAAGCCACAAGCGACCTGGCGGCACTGGGGCGACTAAATCTGGGACGCAAATTCTGAACCCTCGGCTGATCGGTTTTTTCCTCAACCGTCAACGTTGCAGCTCCAATAGAATCGCGGTTATATCGATATTCCGGGTCGAACGTGAGAGGGACGTCGGATTTAGATAACAAAAAATGTCTATGAATACCTCTTCCCTGTCTATGAATACCTTTTCCCACTCCAACACCGCCAGCTTGTTTCATTGCATTTCACACGATCCGCGGGAGGGGTGATAAACACATTTCAGGTTGTCGCGGGAATATGCTATGAAGGCTCCGCAATTCATGCTTGGTGCTGGGCAGTCAGGACCCTCGGCTGTCAAAAATGAGAGGTCTGAGAGAATACAACTACTTGGTGGGTATATTGCTGGGCAGTATTTAAGCTTATCAGGATGGTACAGTAACCGTTTTATAATGGACAATGCTGTTATAAGGAGGCTGTTGCGACGGAGCGAAGCAATGATAGACTTACCGAGGGGGAGCAGCCGCCGGCTCCCGGGTAACCGACGTTTCGCCCACGACAGACATACTTTGCTACAATCAATCCACCAAGTCGGTGTAGGTACAGTGCACAGAATGGCTGCACGATTGCATTGTTGGACGATGTATCAGCAAATTTTAGTCCTCACTTTTCACACATCGGCGAGCTTTCGCATCCCGTGGGATTGGAAAGCCAATGTGCATGCACTCCGCTGCCGTACGGTCCATTTTGCGCTCAGAAAAGACCCTATATCTGATATCCCGGTCACCGAACCGGTTGTATCCAGGCTTCCGGACGGACACGGTTGGGTTGGACCGACGTGAAAATTTGACTACACCCAATGGACTCGCTTTCCAGTCCAACTGCATCGTTGCTCGGTGAGTGCGCAAGCTGTCCCAAGTGAGCGGGAAACATTTTTCAGTGGAGTATAAAAGCAAGGATGCGAAAGCCCCGAGACTAAGGCTTCACCTGCTCATTTGCCTTACGGTCAACCAACCTCGGTCGCGATGCTGTCTACTTCGTTTGTTCTGCTCGCCGCACTCGCCTCTGTCGCCAATGGTACCTCTCCTCCTCCTTTCCTCAGTATTTTGAACTTATGTGTAATATTCAGCGGCGCTTACTCGTCGTGTTGCGTGCGCCGACGGCACCATGGTTTCGGACGGTGCCTGCTGCGCTCTAGTGCCCGTGCTGCAAGATCTCCAGCAGAACGTGTTCGCAGACGACGCATGTGGTGATGCTGCTCATACCGCTCTGCGCATCTCCTTCCATGATGCGATAGGGTTCTCGAATACCAACGCGAGCTTTGGGTAAAACATACACTTCTCTACCCTGGTGATCCCGCGACTAATTGATGCAACAGTGGAGGCGCAGATGGCTCTATCCTCATCTTTGCTGAGACTGAGCTCGCCTTTGACGCGAACCTGGGTATCGCCGACGCCTTCAACCTCGAGGCATCGGTCATTGCCCAGCACAACATTTCCGTGGCCGACTTGTACGGCCTCCAGTCAATACATCTACATCCTTCCTACTGATATCTACCCTAGCATCCAGTTCACCGCTGCCTTCAGTCTCAGTCAGTGTCCCGGGATCGTTCGCCCAACATTCATGTTCGGCCGTGTCGACGCGACATCCCCCGCTCCGGATGGCACCGTCCCCGAGCCTTTCGGTAAGTGCTTGGCCTGAAAAAAAAAATCGGTGTTCTGGATCCCTCTGCAGACAGCGTCGAGAAGATTCTCGCTCGCATGGGTGACGCCGGCTTCAGCCCTGCAGAGGTCGTCGCCCTCCTTGCATCGTAAGCAATTTCTGTAATTCAAATGGCTCCCAGCTCACTCCCGTGTTAGTCACTCGATCGCCGGAGCCGACGATATTGACCCAACCCTCTCCGGCCTGCCCTTCGACTCCACGCCATCGACCTTCGACACGCAGTTCTTTGTCGAGACCCAGTTGCGCGGCACCCTCTTCCCGGGCACGGGCGGGAACCAGGGCGAGGTCGAGAGCGCCGTCGCGGGCGTGCTGCGCCTGCAATCCGACTCGGAGCTCGCCCGCGACCCGACGACGGCCTGCCTCTGGCAAGCCAATGTGAACAACCAAGCCCACATGGCGTCTTCCTTCCAGGCTGCGTTCGCCAAGATGCAGGTCCTCGGGCAGGACGTGTCGAAGATGGTCGACTGCTCCGAGCTCATCCCGGTGCCTCCGCCCCTGCCCTCCAGCTCTGCCCAGGCATTCTTCCCCCCGGGCCTCACCTCGAACGACGTCGAGCAGGCATGTGCAACGACGCCGTTCCCACAGCTTCCGACTGCCCCTGGGGCCCCGGAGTCTGTCCCGTCCATGTACGTCTTCCTGCAAGTCGTTGATAGCGCACAAAACTCACCGCGCTTTGTACCGCAGTGTCCAGGATCCTGCCACTGACGGCCCTTGCGATGACGATGGCCAGGGTTGCTCTCCCACCATCTTGGGTATGTAGAGTCCCGATTGATGCGCTTGATATTGTTAGCCATCCGCGGTTCTTAGGCTGGTCTTGTTGTAATATTCTTTCTCTTATGTATCGTCCTGTTCTTGTACCCCTCCTTTCAAATATATATTCAGTGGTGACTCCGATAAAACAGGTTATACCTGAGGCCTGCAATTCGGACTCGGGGCAAGTTGTTGTCGCATTTGGAACGAAAATGGACTGTTGAATGTGCATCAAGCAAGGGACACATCAACAACGTTAACAGCAATTGGAGCACAACACAACGCCCGCAATCGAACGAGTTCCGCACCGAAAGTAACTGGACTCAAAACCAATCGAAGAGTCGTGGCGATGAGAGTACGGAGGAGGTGAGTGTCGCATCGGACAACGGAACCAGATAAGCACGCAGATGTTGAATGCATTGCGACAGATATGGCAGCCAGAGAAAAAATGATTATGCCCTTGAACGGCCCGCCCCCGAATCAAACGGGCCTCCACCACAGATCATGCCAAGGCGACCCGCATTCCACCAAGCGTGTGACGTGCATTCCAGCAAGCGGGCCTTCGGAGTGATATGTGTATGAACATTTAGGATTGCACGAACTAGCAACGTAGCGGGGGACAAATCCAGCGCAAAACTCGAGGGTAAGAGCCGCGCGCGCGATTGAGATTGGCCGCGGTTCATGGCAGAGCAGGACCTCAAGACGGAATGGAGAGATTGCGCCTAAAGGCTAAAGGAGATTCCAAACACCGAACGGCACGCCATTTGATCCACAGTCGCGAAGGAGAAGTTTGAGACAGCATCACAGGAAGCGGGTCTTTGAAGGAACTAGGAATCCGCAAGAACTTGACAGTGAATTGCGTTGGGCACGGCACTGGACCAGGACCGGATTCTGGACTTAGAACCATCCGCTGGCCGGCGGCGGGCAAAATGAAGAGTTTGATCGTTCCCCAAGTCGAACCCTAGCCCAGGTGGTGGCTTTGAAAGGTTGGTCCAGTTGAGGTGAGGTTGAGGGGAGGAAGAGGAAGAGGAAGCCACGTCATCAACGGATCACGCGAGCACGTGACCTCAACGCGTCGAGCCAGGGGACAAACAGGACCAAGCTTAACCGCGCGGGTTGCCGATTGTTTGAATCTGCTCCCCTCTGGCTGCATCATTTGGCAGTCGGCTAGAAGTCAGGACTTTATGCGTGACGAGCGATACTTAATTTTGTATATTACTGTTGTAGTAGGACGCGGAATGATCCCGGTGCCACTGTTCCCAAAATTCAGATGATTGAACAGTTAGATTGAACTCTGAGGCCTGAGGATTCAGATTTGGTGCTTTGAACACTTGCAAGCTCGTACTGCTCAGGATTTCTCGCGCTGTTTAGTAGAAGAAATAAGAAGTTCAACTTCCTTCTGGACATCATGCTCTGTGGCACGTCGTGGCTACTATTTACCCATATCTGCACCTCTAATTTTGCTTTCGTTAACTCTCACTCACGAGCGATCATTTTCTGAAATCAGGAACCTTTTGTGAGAGACCTCGGTCGATTCGAGCGCGGCCATTCTTCAGGAATGCCTTTTACTTAGATCGCTCGTCCAAGCTGGCTTTCTTTCTAGTCTCATCGCATCGCACGCTTCGGGTCCGAATCTCCCTGCGATGACTTCGATTGCAATCCTGGGCCTTTAGGTGCATAGAATGCAAATGCGAGCCCTACGGGTGAATAGGAGACTCTGGACCCGGGTCATGATTGCGAAACGATCCGAATTCTTTTGTTTTTGTCAGAGGAGCAAGATACATCACACAGTCAAAGGCTGAGGCCAAAACAGGCACCATTAGCGAGAAAGCCAGCAACTTCCTAGCTAACCGGATTCACAAACTACCTTCAGACTTCTTTCCTTCTTGTATCTCCCTCCTTTAAACCTTCCGC